GCTAGCCCCGAACCGGCGGCAGACCGCCATCCCCAAAGACTACTTAAGCTGCATGGCTGCTTGCTAGTGGCTGATCGGCAAAATTGGCTCAGTTGAGCGGAAGTTCCCTTTGCTGCGGGCGAGTCAGTTGAGTATGCAAGGTTTGTTTGCCATTGATTGATTGGAAGGAAAGAATTGGGCTTGTAATCTTTCATTCTCTTGTGCAGTTGAGAATACTCTCGTAGGTGGATGTGGGGGTATCCTGGACTGCCATGATGATGAGGATAGATAGTAGTTTTCTCCAGGGAATTCTCCAGACTGATTGACCTCCGCAGGGACCGGCAATACTTAGAAATGGGGGAGACGGAGTAAATGCGGGGAAGATGTCTGTATTGTAATTCTGTATGATCGTGACAGCATTCCTGATGTAATACCAATCGATGCAAAACATACAAACAAGACAAACACCACTGATATTGATCCAAGACAAGAAAGACAAAAAGAGTCGCTGACAGACAGAGAATGCCATGCTTCTGGGTATTTTCATGAATGTATGCCCGAGTCACCCCGCAGATTTGGATGAGAAGCTGCCGTTCAGGCACAATACTATCCACCACTCCTACAACCTTTTATAAATTGGCAGCAACATCAAGCCTTGCCCGCATCATCCCCTCTTCAGCTCCAGCTCCAGCTCCGAGCGGGGCTCTTACTATCGCAACCATGTCGACGGCCACGACCACCACTCCCACGCGCAAACCCATGCCCTCGGCATTGACCTTTGACTTACATGCCAAGTGTTCAGTATGCTCGCTACTCCAATATGGTTGAAAAATCCCATCGTATGCTGACTATACTATCTATACCTAGACAACAAAAGCACGCGCCAGTACCCTCCGCCTCCCCCATGGCGATGTCCCCCTCCCTATCTTCATGCCCGTCGCGACCCAGGCCTCCCTGAAGGGCTTGACGTACGACCAGCTCCGCCAGACGGGATGCCAGCTCTGTCTGAATAATACCTACCACCTTGGATTGAAACCCGGACAGGCAGTGCTGGATGCCGTAGGCGGGGCGCATAAGTTGCAGGGATGGGATCGGAATATTCTTACGGATAGTGGAGGGTGCACTTGATATTGCCTATACCTCCGTGATGATCGGATTAACTGACGGAGCGCAGATTCCAAATGGTGTCCTTGCTTAAACTTGCGACTGTTACGGAGGAGGGTGTACGGTTTTTGAGTCCTCATGATGGCACACCGATGTTCGTTATCCCCTTTTTCCTCGGGGGTAGGCTGTGTTTGTGGTTGGCGAAAAGCTAATCGTAGTTATTTAAAGGCTGCTCACCCCCGAACATTCGATCTCGTTACAGAATTCGATCGGTTCCGATATTATCATGCAATTGGACGATGTGATCGCAACCACTTCGCCGGACCAGGCGAGAATCCATGAAGCCATGGAGCGTTCCGTTCGCTGGTTGGATCGTTGTATCGATGCACACAAGTACCCGGAGAGACAGAATCTGTTTTGCATTATCCAGGGTGGACTGGATTTGGAGATGCGGAAACAATGTTGCGAGGAGATGGTGGCGCGAGATACACCGGGTATCGCCATTGGTGGTCTTTCTGGTGGTGAAGCGAAGGAGGACTTTTGCAGGGTGTATGTTGTACCCTTTAATCTTATGGGGCGTTTGGGCTAATAAGTTAGGGTGGATACTTGCACGGGACTGCTCCCGGAGAAGAAGCCGCGATATGTGATGGGAGTGGTAGGTTGTTCAGTTCAGAGGGTGTATGTGCAGGCTGACCTGGTTAGGGTTATCCGGAGGACTTGATCATGGGAGTTGCGCTCGGCGCAGACATGTTTGATTGTGTCTGGCCGACACGGACGGCTGTACGTTTTACTCCCATTCTGATGTACCTTGACTGATTTCTTTAGCGCTTCGGCAACGCCGTGGTCCCGACAGGGACATTGAACCTGCGCCACCGGTCTTTCGCAGAGGACTTCCAGCCGGTGCAGGAGGGCTGCACTTGCAGCATCTGTCTCCCGAAGGAGCAGGGTGGACTGGGCATTACGCGGGCATACCTGCACCATTTGGCGGCGAAGGAGACAGTAGGAGCGCATCTGTAAGTTGCCATTCCAGAATTTGTATGCTATGATGTGTACTAATGAACAGGCTTACGATGCACAACGTGCACTATCTGCTGTCGTTGATGGGATCGGCGCGACAGGCCATCATAGAGGACCGGTTCCCGGCGTTTTTGCGCGACTTCTTTGGGAAGTTGTATGGAGAAAAGACGAATTACCCGGAGTGGGTAGTGACTGCACTGCGGGGAGTGGGAGTAGATCTGATGGAGTAAGATACCAGATACCAGTTGAATAGAGTCGTATGCTACTGTTCCATCTATAAATCTACTGTGTACCTCCGAGACCGGATATTACATCCGACGACACGGTCACATGACTACGTGGCGCGTCGCGGGCGCGTCAATCCCAGCATTTACTCCTCCATCCCGCTTCACCCCAGACACATTTTACACATCACTTATACCCCATATCAAGATACCACAACACACAAAACACAAAACATCAAGAAGAAGCCATCATAGAGAACTATACAAAATGGCCCCCTCAGCCGAAACCCTCCCCACCCAGGAGTCGACTCCCCAACCCACTACCACTCCCCAGCCCATACCCCACGACCCAACCCACGAAGAACACCAATACCTGAACCTAATCCGCCGCATCCTCGCGGAAGGCGAGCACCGCCCGGACCGCACCGGCACAGGTACACGCTCAATCTTCGCCCCTCCGCAGATGCGCTTCTCTCTCTCCAAACCCTCCACCACCTCAGAAGAAACCTACACCCCAATCCTCCCCCTCCTAACCACCAAACGGGTCTTCCTGCGCGCCGTCCTCGCCGAACTCCTCTGGTTCATCTCCGGCACGACCTCTTCCCTACCCCTCAGCGAAGCTGGGATTAAAATCTGGGACGGCAACGGCTCGCGCGAATACCTCGACAAAGTAGGACTCTCGCACCGGGAAGTCGGCGATCTGGGACCCGTGTACGGCTTCCAATGGAGACATTTCGGGGCGGAATACGTCGACGCCAAGACAGATTATACCGGTCAGGGCGTGGATCAGTTAGCCGAGGTGGTGAAGAAATTGAAGGAGAATCCGTTCGATCGGAGGATTATCATGTCGGCGTGGAATCCTAAGGATATGAAGATTATGGCTCTGCCGCCTTGTCATATGTTTGCGCAGTTTTATGTCAGGTTTCCGGATGCGAAGAGGGATGAAACCGGGGTGGTTAGGGATGGGGAGTGGGGGAAGGGCCATTTGGATTGTTTGTTGTATCAGAGGAGTGCGGATATGGGGCTTGGTGTGCCGTTTAATATTGCTTCTTATGCGTTGATGACGCATTTGTTGGCCCATGCGGTTGATATGGTTCCCGGGACATTGGTGCATACCTTGGGTGATGCTCATGTTTATTTGGATCATGTGGAGGCGTTGAAGGAGCAGATTGAACGCGAGCCCGTGGCGTTTCCGGAGGTGAGGATTAAGAGGGACGATAGGGGTAGTGGGGTTGTGGATGGGTGGAAGGAGGAGGAGTTTGAGGTCATTGGGTATAAGCCGCATAAGGCGATTAAGATGAAGATGAGCGTTTAGCTGGTACTATACTACAGCGTATATATATAGAGTATTTAAAAACAGTTGATAGATGAATATGCAGATAGCAGTAAAGAAACAAGGGTATATACTCTACATCCCCCCCCACCTACCCCCCCTACCCTCCTCTACATCATATCCCTCCGGGAGGGTTCCTATAAAATAACCCCCGCCCCCCTCAACAAAACAACCGTATCCCCGGACTTCACCTTCGCACCCACACTCTCCCCAAACTCCAAAAACACTCCCCCCTCAACATGAAACACCCTCAACTTCTCCTCCTCCCCTCCCCCGCGATTATTCACATTCTCCACCTGCAACCGTCTCGCCGCATCATCCAACACCCTCCCCACCTTCCACCTCTCATCGAAGAAAAAGTCTCCCCGCGGGGGATCCGTCGCCGGCTTATTTGTCGTCTCGCTCGTCCCCACAACATGTAAATAGATCCGTTTGTCGTTGGGGATGTTGTTCTCCCCTTTGGCGGTGCGTTTCATGCTGTTCAGTTGCACTGTACGGCTGGGTGGTTTCCTCCCACTACCACTACTACCACTGGTAGAAGAAGAAGAAGAAGGTTTATTCCCCCAAGCGCGCAACTTCCCAAACATCGACTTCAGCGTATCCGTCCCTCCTCCCCCCACATTCCCTCCCCTCGCACCATTCCTACTATTATTGTTATTATTCCCCACAGGCCGACAATCATGCCCCTCCCTCAACCGATGTCTCAGACAATACTCTTTCCGACACTGATCGCATCGCACACCAGGGTCAGTGAGAGTATTAATGAGTGTTTTGCACGAGATATGCGCGCATTGATCTGCGGTGTATATATTGGGTTTTTGTTGTTGTTGCGAGTTTGTGGATGTGGAGGTTGTTGTTGTTGTTGTTGTTGTTGTGGACGGTGAGGGTGAAATTCGGGCATTCGGACATTTATGCGCTGTTTCGGTTCTGTGCTCGAGACAATATGTCCCCTTGCAGGAAGGGCAGCGGAATGGGAGGAAGTCGAGTTGGTTGCAGGTTGGGAGAGAGCAGTGGGAGCCGATGGCGTCGAGGTCGGCGTCTGTTGCTGATGAGGTGTTTTGGTTCGGGGAGGGTATTGGGGACATTTTTGGTGGTTTTTCTGAGTATGGGTTGGTTGGTCAAAGTGGGAGGGATGGGGAGTAAAGGTGAGGGTTTAGATATGTGGAGGAAAGAATATTTCGTAGATTGGTTAGTGTAACTAAATGTTTAATAATGTTCTTTCTGGCAGATGCTGGAAGCGCCTGGCGGGCGGGAGTCATGCGGAGAGAGAATGAGAGGCAAATGACTCAGCGTGGCGGTGCACAATTTTATCTGATCTGATCGGAGATTGCTCGGAGATATGTGTAGCATTCAATCGATTAATTATTCTGCTCATTTTAATCCTTTCTGACATAGAGAGTGAAGAAGGGAATGACAGGGAAAACTCCAACACGAGGGGTATATCAAACAAATATCAAAAGTATCAAGTCCAACACAAGGAAAATCAATGAGTGAATCACAACGATAATTAAGTATTACCTCCCTTCTGCTCCTCCTCCTGCTTATCCCCCTGCTCTTCCCTCCGTACGACTTCTGCAAATGGTATCACCCCGCTCGACATCATGACCGGCAATCCATCCCGCGCCAGTGTCATTCCGGGAGGAGAATATAATGCCGATGGCGGACGACCTGGTGTCAATGGCGGCGACATGACCATGCTAGCTGCAGCCTCGTGTTCACTTCTGTCCCAGCCATTGGTGGTACTGCTTTCAACTTTGCCCACGGACGGCGGTGACGAGGTCACAGGTGTAACGATCGATGGCTCGTCCTTGGCTTCTGTCTCTGATTGAACTGCCACTGGTGCGGGCTTCGCTGCAGACCGAGCCGCCTTTGAAGCCGAGCTCAGTGCCCGACCAGCGGGCTTGCGAGGCGACTTGGGGGTCTGCGTCTGCGTTTGCGTCTTTGAACTGGCTTTGGAGGCTGCGCGCTTCCGCTCTTCCGCTGCTCGTCTCTCTCTTTCTCTCTCCCTGGCTGCATTCTCTTCTGGCGATGGGACCTTCAACTTGATATGCAGCTTGCGTACCCCGGCCGTCAGACTGTCCAGATCATCCTGGGGCCCATCAGGATTCGGCGACCCTTCACTTTCTGCAGAAAGAAAAGCCGGCGGCACCCGCGGCACAGGAGGCGTATTCGGACTCGAGGATAGTCGAGGTGTGCTGGATTGTGAAGTACTGGTCTTGCGCACCGCGGCACTCGACGCGGGTCTTGGCCCGGTCGGCTCTGGCGTCGATACTGCTGACCCGGCTCCTGCACTCTTCCTGCGAGCCACGCGACCGGGTGTCTGTACTGCAGAAGCTGTGTCTGGCGCTGTGTCGATGGTGGTTCTCCGACTGCCGCGAGCTGCAGGGCGCTTGACTGTCTCGGCCGGAGGCAAGGCAGGCAGCGAGGGCTTGGGCTTTCGCACGCGGAGCTTCATCCGGCCGTCTTCTGCGGTCGACGCCGTAGCTGTAGCTGTAGCCGCAGCTGCAGCTGCAGCTGCAACCGCAGCCGTGGTTGTGCTTGTGGCGGCTGCATCCACTGCTGTCTGACGCTCTCGTCGCAGACGCGATGCCTCGGCATTGAGCTCTTCTGGCCGACAGCTTGTTGTCTGCCGACCGGTCGGGACCAGGACCTTGCATAGCTCATGCGTGGCAGTCGCCCAGCCGACTGGCGGGGGTGGAGACGGTGCTTCCGGCTCTGGGCTCGAGTGCGAACCGGTCGACCTGCGGTCTCGTGGGGGATTGACTACTTTGGCAGAAAATGACTGCGTTGTGGTTAAGTAGGTCGGTACAGCCTTCTCCCGGGGCTTGACAGGTGCAGCCGGCGAATAAACCAGCGCCTCCAGTTCCTCCAGCACGCCTGGTGCCCACCACTCACTGTTGTACATCGGTTCAGTCACCGACCGCCCCTCTGCCGAATCAGACAGGCCCAGACGATCTGTCATTTCCGATGCGAGACGATCAATCTGCCGCTCATCCAGATCATGGGTGCTGCCCTTTGCATCTCCCAGCCCAGACAAATGACTGAGCACACCGCTGGTCAATGCACGATTGCTGTAGCCGCCCTCGAGGACACTGATGATTCGCCCATCCGTCCCCAGGCCCTCCTCGTTCGCCATCCGCACCACGTCGGCCGTGAACCTGGCATAAAACTCGGTGGGCACGTTTACCTGGTGGCGCTGCATGCCGGCACCCTCCCACTCGCTCGCGTCAAACCCGGCTGAAATAAAGATGGCTGCCTTCGGCGGAGGTCCATTGGGCGTGTTGGCCAGCCGCTCGGTATGCATGCGCAGGAACGCCCGCGCCTTGTCAATCAGCACAGTGTACTTGGCAGCATACAGGTCCCAGAATTCTTTGTCCGACTTCCACGGCTCCAGATGCACGTTCCAGATGGACTGGCCATGGGCCTTGTCAATACACACGCTCGCGTTGCGCACCTTTTCCGGCTCCCCCATTTCACACGGATAGGAATTGATGTCGTGCAGACTAAAATATCCCACCATGGTCTTTCGATGGGCGGCCGCATTCCGTGGCGCGGTTACCGCTTTGTGATTCTGCTGCCAGGCAATATCTTGTGATCCGTCTCCATGATGCAGATCAAAGTCGAGGATGGCGGCATGGGTCAAGCCATGGGTCATGGCCGCATACGAAATGCCCACATGGACGTTGTTAATCCAACAGAACCCTGACGGATGACCTGCAGAACAATGATGACCGGGCGGGCGGATGCAGACAAACGCTCGCTTGGTTGGGCCCGGACCCATGACTGCGTCCACGCCTTCACTGACACCTCCCAGGGCGCCTTCGAACGCGCTCAAGGATTCCGAGCACAAATAGAGGTCTCCTTCGTGAAAAGCAGGGGCATTCGTGGCGGCGCTGTCCTTGCCGGCGCTGCGAGGGCGGACCAACTCCTTACCGTTCAACGCAAGCCGGGATTCGGCTGCATCGCACATGGTCTTGAGGTCCTCCATCCACTTGGACCCATGCACGTGCGTGACAGCAGGCGAGCTGAGCGACAGTGTCCGCGCCGTCTTGCGAATATGGAATGGCGGCACCGGCAGCTGCTGCGGATTGAGATCAGGGTGAGGAGCGAACGTGCCTCCTGCATGTCGCCGGGCTAGTCGAACATATGCGGCCGAAATGCCCAGCACGCTGGCCTGGATGCGCTCGGGACGCTCGACGATAGAGTTAAGCGCCGCGCGGGAGGTTCGCGGGCGCGAGAAGCGATGGCCATAACACGCATCATGGACGAGCACGAGTGTCTGCGACTGTGGCTTTGCGGACTGATGCCAGGCCACTTCTTTGCGAAAGGACTCTGCTGCGATGGATGCTGCTGCTGCGAAAGAGTGCTCCGCCGACGCTGTCCGATGAGCCTTCTTGGCCATGTTTGGGTGGGTGGCGGACGCGCTCGTCGGGGAGGTGCCGAACGAGGATGAGGAGTGTCGCGATAAGCTGGGTCGGGGTGAAGTGGACGCTCCACGGTTAGAACGTAGCGACGCGGTGGATGAACGTTTCTTCAGGCTGGGCGAGGACTTGCGACACTCATCGGCCAGGGAGCTGGAGCTGGGAATGCGACGTGGGGTGGGATGCGCCTGGGTCGCAACAGCACGCGCGGGGGGATCGGAGGGCGACAACAAGGCGGCTGACGAGAGTCCAGGAGATGAGGGAGGCAGGGACATGGCGTGTAGCGAGGGATAGCTTAGTCTTTGAGTCGAGGCAGTCGCGTCGTCTGTAGACAGCGGGGGCTCGGTTGCTGGGGGGGATGAAGCCGCAGTGAATGAGGTGGGCTCATGGCGCTTGGAGGGGTCCATATTGGGCCCATCGGGGGGTTGTTCAGTGGATGTTCTGTAGGTGGAGTAGAGAGGTGACTTGGGTCGGTAGAATTATAGAATTATAGAATTTAGATAGAAATAAAAGAGAATTATATTGCGACGAGAGTTGGTAGATGGGGAGGGAGTTGAATACTCAGGGATAGATAGGGAGGAGGAGGAGGAGGAGGGGGGAAGGAGGGAGAGAGGAGAGGAAGAGAGACAGAGAGAAGGAAAGGGAGGCAGACAAGATAACAACAAGCACGGGAACTCAAACCCAATTCTCTCCCTCCATAAGTCAATCATTCAATTTGCATTCCATCAAATCAATCAATGCAATGCAGGGTTTCCCCTCATTCTTCAAGCTTCCACAATCAAGCTTCCAACTTTCCAGGTTCAGGGGCCGGCGATCCATCCGGGATTGCGCTCCACTTGGCCTCTCTACTTAATCTCTACTTCTACTGGAGATACTGGATACTACTCAAACTCACTACTGCTGCATCTAAAGTAGTCCTTCCAAGGGTGTCTTGCAGGAACTTGTCGCGAATGTGACCCATCATCCCTGACCGGGGCCAATGTGGTTTCCAATAATCACTGGTCAGACAATAGTCGATCGTCTTATTGCTGCCCCCAAATAATCCATGCATCATCTGGGGTTCGCGCATCACAATCAGATCGTTCCCGATCCGATCGGAGCAGTCAATCTATCTACAATCCATCCAGATAACATACATTGTCACCCCAATGTATATAAAACCCCTTCCCAAAAAGAAAACACCAAAGAGAGGGTATGAAGAAGTCTCTTTTTTCTCATCGGGATTTGCAAAGTCCCGCCCGACCTTGTGAAAAGCAAAAACATAATAAACCCCGAGAAACGCCCGAACCGAACCCACCCAAAGGAGAAAGATGATCCATGCATCCAAACACCGGTGCTGATGATTCACAGAAGAACCCAATTCACAAAGGAAAATCAAACGATTGCAAAAACGCACTCGGCCACGTCAAAGGCAGCTTAAAAGGTCCGCGACCGTAAGCTAGCGAACAAGGACCATCGCTTCTTCCGTGGAGTCGGCAAGCTTTGCTCGCTGGTCTCGCTGGAGGCGCTGGGCTCGCTCCTGTCGCTCCTGTCACTTTTGTCTGTAAAGCTCAGCATTGAGAAGCGTTTGCGATCCTGTTTGCGCTCCTGCTTGCGCAACTTGCGCTCCGACTTAAAGCCGTGGGTTGCGTGTCCGTAGCAGAAACAGTGCATGTGGACCAACTGGATGGACGTTTCGGGACAGTAATTGTTCTCATTGTTGCGCGAGGAACAGAGCTGTTGGCCGGCATCTTCTTCACACCGGCACCATTCATAGACCATAAAGTACTGGCGACACATCTTGGAAATGAGGATGGGGGGTTAGAGGGCAGAGAAGCGGGTAGTGTGATTGATGAGTTGGTGATGGGAGGCAGTGCAGAAAAAGTAAATTTCACAAAATAAGAAAAGAAAGCGAGAGATCAAATGTGCCGGAAGTTTAAGCGGTCGAATCTAGATCCACCAAGAAGCAATTCGTGCCCAAAGACCGGCCGCGCTGAAGAGGGTTTGAGTCGGTGTGGATTTGGTGCGGGATTCTTCTGACTCCGCGGTCTTCCGGAGAGGGGGTGAATAGAGAGAGTTGCAAGAATGTACTCGGGCGTACTCCTTTTTGGTGGTGAAAATGCGGGTAGTAACACTGCTTTCAAAGCAGGTGGATTCTTGCTGGCCGTGTCTCGTAAGTTGAAAATCAATTTTGCGTAGAAGCTGGTGGACGAGAGGCGGTTTATAGTTATGATATACACTAGATGACGATGGAGGGATGGAGATCACTCGGCGTTCCGCGGGTCTGGACTGGGCGGTTCGGATTGAGGGTCAAGCGGTTTGTTGGAAGAGCTGATATGACGCACTTCCAGCACAACCAGGCTGGAGGGATGACAGTCTCCGGGACTGTTGTATCAAAATCGAGTATGGGAGGTAAATGCCCAGGTTCATCAATGCGTGTTCAGCAAGAAGAGGGGAAAAGTTGGGAGGAAGAGGAGGTAGTGGGGAGGAAGAGGAAAGGCAAAGGGGAGCAGAGCGTTAATGAGGGCAAGGTCAGTCGGTCAGTCAGCGGAATTCTACCACCACTCCATTCAAGCCGACTGGGATGATCAATGAAGGCAAATGACGGCAGAGTGTTTCTTTAAAAAGAGCCAGCATGAGAGAAAGGGCAATGAATGACAATGCAGCAGCAAAGAGCCGTCCAGACAGTTGGTGCAGAGCGAGTGTTTGACGTCAGCTGCAAGCGCTGTGGTGGAGTAGGGCGTTAAAGAGTGTACCAAATGGAAGGATGGAATGATGGCTTCATGCAGGAAGGGGAGGGAAGGGAAACGGTGAGAGATGCAGCAACCCTGGTTCATCATGACGAAGAGGAATCGACGACTACTTTTACAAATGCTCACTGGCCCGGCTACCACGGAGAATGAGGGATGATCGGACTGTCGTATCGATCGAAGCCCAAGCCAACTGGGACCTAGTCTACTAACTGCATTGCCTAATTCGGATGGCTCCTGAGTCCTTTTATTACTTAGTGTTACCCTTTTCATTTATTTTTTCTCTTATAAATCGCTTTTTTGTTAATCTTTCTCGAAATTGTTTGGTTCAGTTCCGTGAAGGTTCCTCGGTCCATCCGGGTTTTGAATGTCACTTCAGAGTTGTGGTCAGTGGTACGTCAATTTATAAAAGGAAACATCAAACAAAAAGAAAAGGCACCAAAGGGGTAGCATAATCTGCTTCAACCATGGAAAGAAATGAAAAAAAAAAAAATGTATTAATAATAATAAATCAGGGGGAGTATAAATTTGTTTGTGTGCGCGTGCATCAGGGGGTAAAGAAAAATAAAAGGGAAAAGAAACACCATTATGAAAGGAATAAAACGGACCGGATAGGAATAGCAGTCGAACATCCGGCGAGTCGAGGTCTAGGCATCTGTATTTCTTTAGTACTATGTTTAAGGAGATAATGTCGGACATAAAAGCCCGGTGTTGGTTAAGTTGGTTGCTAGACCGCTCCGAAGAGAAAGAGAGGGACTCCGACTAGTGTTTGTTACCCACGAGCTCCTCCTTCAGCCGAGATAGTCAACACTAATGGTGTCGGAAGACAAATAGTCCCTTGACGAAATGGAGCCGGATGGAGTCGATGGAAATTGGCAGTGGGTTCGGGAGTAAGACGAAGGTCTGACTTGACAGCACCCCCTTCTCCGGGCGGCAGTTTTGGGAAACCAAAACGGGCTTCTAGTGTGATCTACCGGCAGAAAGTGGAAAATAGAAAAGAGAGGGGCATGAAAGGGGGGGTAAGGAGCAACGTGTGGCTTTGTCGTTGCATGCTGGGATCTGGAGGGGAGAGGGAATAATGACATCAAAGAGTGGCATAATAGTAGATCATCTAGAACAACACCACACACACACGTAACCTCGAACTCTAACCCCAAACCCATGGACTTTCGACTCTTCGAATCTGCAGAATGACGACACGACTGATTGATTAGTTAAGTTACTGATTCCTGATTAGTTAATCTGGAACTAATCAACTAGCTAAGCTTAGTTAGCACGAACTGTTTCCCCCCTCCCCCTCTTAGTCAGCCACGTGCTCTTCGGAACAATAAAGCCGAATCCGAATTGAACCTCACTTCATCACGTGTAACACTAACCCCAAAACCAGCCTAGCGTGGTAGCTCTGCATCGGCCCGAACAAGTCAATCTTATCATCACCTGTTACTGCTGAGACTTGGACTGTTCTATCTCCTCATCCAACCACCACGAACCAGAGATCCCATATAACACAACCCAACGGGGGAGGGAAAATAACTACTACAAAAATGACCACCTCAATCCGCCCCTCCACCCCCACCCGCACCACCACCCTCCTGACCAATCTCGCAACCGTAACAGCCCGCATCAACACTGCAACTACCTCATCTCCAAAAACCACCCCACCCCGTCTGGTCGCCGTCTCCAAACTCAAACCCGCCAGTGACATCCTCACCCTCCACACCACCAACCCACCTACACATCAAACCCACTTTGGCGAAAACTACCTCCAAGAACTCCAGGAGAAAGCCCGTCTCCTCCCCACCACCATAAAATGGCACTTCATCGGCGGCCTGCAGAGCAATAAATGCGTGACTCTGGCGCGGGATACCCCCGCGCTCTGGGCCGTCGAGAGCGTAGATAGTACCAAGAAGGCGTCGTTGTTGGATAAAGGGTGGGGGGAGAGGAGTGCTGAGGTGAAGGCGACGAATCATGAGGAGAGGTTGAGGGTGTTTGTGCAGGTGAATACCTCCGGGGAAGAGAATAAGAGTGGGGTTGAGCCGGGCGATGGCGCGCTGGAATTGTGTCGCTTTATTAGGGATAAGTGTCCCCGGTTGCGGTTGCAGGGGGTTATGACCATTGGGGCCATTGCCAGGTCGAAGGCTACCACGCCGGAGAATGAGAATGAGGATTTTGTGTGTCTGAGGGAGACCAGGGATCGTGTGGTCCAGGAGTTGGGCTTGCTGGGGGAGGAGGCCAAGTTGGAGTTGAGTATGGGTATGAGTGAGGATTTCGAGGGCGCTATTGCTCTGGGTAGTGATGAGGTTCGCGTTGGGACGACTATCTTTGGGGATAGGCCGCCCAAGGATCAGGCCAGGGTGGTTTGAGTCCATTAAAAGGTGTTACGATTCACGACGTGTTCTATAAGCATCATGCATCATTCTTAAGGGATGAAAAGAGATGGGAGAGGAAGGGAAACCAAGACAGTAAACTTCGACTGCTGCCTGTACATTAAGATGAAAGGAAAGAACAAGCGTCCCGCATGTCCCAGGTATATATGTGCGATATCAGTAATAAATACACCCCCCGCCATCTGCCACCTGGCGGAGTACGAAGAATCAAACATGCAGCATGACACACCCCGAGCATCATCGCCCACTGTCTCCTCGCTCTCCCTGTGACAGCTTCTGCTCCATCTGCTTGGCCAATGCCTGCGGCACCGATTCCTGTGTCGCGCGGATCGTGATTCGGTACATCTAAGTCATATAGTCAGCTCACTCCTTGCCGTCCTCGACGGGGTTGACATAGTGAAGGGAGCAAACTTACCGATCTCTCATAGTTGGGCTCCAGTCGCAGGAGACAGCCCGTCTTGCCCTCAGCAAACTGGTACACTGCACAGCCCACGATGTTCTTCGGATTCGGATCCACGTTGTCCAGGATCTTCCACCCAAAGCCTTCCACCACCCGTCGTGTAAACGACTCGCCAATTTCCTTGTGTCGCGCCGTAACGCCAAATGTTTTCTGTGCCTCCAGCGGGCCCCCACCAATTTGCCGCCAGCGCTTGAAGAAATCTTCTGCCGACAACGCCGATGGCTCCATGTATCGGTGCATGAGAATGGGCAGCTGTAACGTGTATGCCTGGAGCGCTCCCGCAAGATATGAAATGCGGATCGTCGGCGCTTCCGTGAAAGGCCCGCGCCCCTCAACCAAGAACGTCTGCTGCGTCTGACCCACGGCAGGCACCGATGGATCGGGAAGACTCTTCGTGTCAATCTTTAGGTTCGGTGCAGCCGGGTTATCCACCGTCGTCGTAAGGGACCCGATAGAGTAGGACGATTTATTAGAGATGTAGATCTTCACCACACCCATATGCCCCCGGTACTCGGAGCGCAGCCCAACTTGAATTTGCGCATCCTCGAACAGCACACCTTCGTCGCCAAAGTAGAGTCGGTTGTACCCGATATCCCAGTCCGGCGTGAGATGAGCCGCACTGGCCATGTTCGGCGGCGGGCCTGATGGGGCGCTGAGATCCAGTCCTGCTAGGTCGCCCGATGCCCCCGACGTGGCTGTCGTGCCATTGGCCCCGGTCTTGTGGCCATTGACGATTGTGGTGAAGCTGCGCTTCAGTCCCGTGTTCTGCGCCATGAGCACCTCTTGTTTGTCGGCGTTGGCATCCTTGCCGCCCACCACCCACGTCTTCTTCTCTGTCGTGCCGGCCGTCTTCTGGTGCAGCCGAGAGAGCAGAATCGAGGCGCGTTCCGAGAAGGGTGGCATCTCGTCGCACACCGTTCGCAGAAGGTCATCGGTGGGAAGCGTCGCCAGCGACAGGTATTCAAAAGCACGCTGCTGCAATTCAGAATCGGGGGAGTGGCTATACAAACGGAATATGTGCAGAAGTTGAGGTTTGATCTCGGGGAAGAGGTTGACAAATTTGACAAAGGAGGACAGAATCATCGCTCGTGTCGTGTCAGTGCTGGTGATCATCTTTGCTTGCAGCGCCAAGAACTGCTCAATGGGACTTGAGCCTTGATTGTCGGCGATCAGATGGCCAAATTCACCTAGAACATAGCATCCAATCTTCACCAAGCTCTCATGACAATCGGTCTTCAGATATCCAAGCAAGTTGTGTGCTGCATAAGCCTGCAGCTCTTCGTTGTTGGTCACGATCTGGATTACTCGTTGCCACACTTCGTCGTTGACATGATCTCCAGCCAGCGACAGAAGCTTAAGGGTCATGTCAATGTACCACTGCGCGTCGGTGGCATATTTCTCGGTGAGAATAGCAACCTTCAGCACCATCTCCTCGCGGATGGCGTAGTCGGCCGTCTGAAGGTAGCGCAGTAGCTCGTTCACAATCGGACCGGCGTTTGTGGTGTCGCACATACTATAAACCAAATCCAGACCTTTGCGCCGAACACTGATATCACGGTCCCGGAGCGATCCGAGAATGATATTCTGGTGCTTCTTGATAGGATCTAGAGTCTCGGCCCGAGCCGCGAAATGCGTCATGGCTTCCAACCCCAAGTACCGAACATTTGTTTCTCGCGACTGGATGTACTTTCCAAGACGTGTAGATATTTGCATCATAAGGCTGTGCTCGGTATCGAGATGGATGAGGAGATTGATCGCCTCGAAAAGAACGGCATTCTGGGCATTGTTCTGCTGGACATTCTTCGGTGCATCCATGGCCAAGTTCATGATTTGCTGTAGAGACTCACGGATAATCTCGCGAACATGGCTATCCTCTGTTCAGTAGTTTAGTGGCGCACATACAGCCGATAATGATACATGAAAGACATACCTGCTGGAGGATAGTACTGCAGCAACCGCAACAGCTTGACCTGAATCCAAGGACATGGCACGCGGTAGTAAAGGTAGTCGGAGGCAATGTCGTTATCTACCACTATCCTTTTCAGGCGATGTGCGGCCTTGACGTAGCAACCTTTGTACTCATCGGGTTTATCCTGGGCCAATGCCATTACAAGCGAGGTGACCGAAAGCGTGACACCCATATCGGGGTCATCCATCAAGGAGATTATCCGTTCCGCCCAAGCGTTCTGTACAATGTCGGGGAACTTGCGATACAGTCGAAGGAGGGTCAGCGCAGCCTTCTTCTTGACAAAGGCCTTGGAGGTACTAGATCCCAGTCAGTCAGACATGCAAAAGGCCGACGACAGAAGGACCGTAGAGGCACTCACGGGCTAATCAGGAGCCGATGGACATCTGTCGAAAGCGCCTCGCCCATTTCTCTTCCGCCGACGTTCGCAACCGCGTGCAAGGCTAGACAGTTATTCAACTCATTGTGATCTAACAGATCCTTCCGTATACTGTTGACAACCAGGTGGAGCAGTTCATGCTGCTCGTGTAAAAAGAGAGTGACCGCCAGGTAACCGATCTGCTTCTCGGAGTATTTGTTGGAGGAAATCAGGTTCACGGCCTCGAGGTGACCGAAGTCGACATCGTATCCTTGAATGTAGACGTAGAGCAACTTGCAAACGTATTTCTTCTTCTGATAACCATTTAAACTGCCACCCTTGAATTTCTGCCGAATGTTGGCCAATTCCTTATTCACCCGCTTCTCTTCGAGTTCGCGCGCTCTTGCATTTCGCAAGTCGGCGATGAACTGAACCAAACCTCGCATAGACGACATGTTGACCGATATAGCATATGACGTGAGAACAATTAAGGATCAATTATTAGAGCGGGAAATCAAATCGAGAGCTGTCGGATTCGTGGTTCTTGAACTTCACGGAGTCATGTAAGCGCAAACACCACGCTAGTGAGATTCCTCCAAATGAGTGTATTTCATACAATCATGTCCAGTCCCTCCTTTCGGGTTTGTTCGTTGTCAATTCCGCTTCAGTGGCTATGGTGCATGGAACATGGCGCAAGGGCAATGGTGAGCCAAGTGGAGGAGCCGAGATCTGGAGGAGGAGGGGAGGGGGGGGGGGGGGGGGAGGTGTTGGCCTTTCGGAGAACGCGCGACAGGGGGGAGGGTGGGACGGACAGTCGAATCGCAAATCGAGGGGTAGGGGGGACTGTCCAGGGAGTTAGAAGAGCAGGAAGATGGTGAAAAGCCCGGTAGATGGCTCCGATCAGAAGGTCGAGCTCTCTGGGACAGGGACGAGCAGATAGACGTGGAGGCAGTCCGGCAGCGGAAAGGAGGGAGAACGAGACCCTTTTGGCCCAGGAGGGAAGCTGCCTCAGCCACTTCCGCGGGCGATCCGGCGGAGATCGGGATAAACGTTGTTGCGCTGTGGCGGTGCACCCTGTCAACCCCATTTTTAGCATAGGAGGTGCTGTTTACCGTTCCGGAGGGAAAGTGAAGACAATCACTGTTTATTTTGAATTTCTATGTTGGACGATCGCTTGCTAAGCTATATCAATTTCTACGACAGTGGCGTTAAAATTCCAACACCCACCACCCACAAGTAGTATTTGCTCAGAGGAATGGTTCTAGATCTATGAAAACCTTATCGAATTTCAAGGCACTGCAATCGGGTGGGGATACTGCAGCAGAGACATCACTCCGCAGATTGATGAATCGCCCCTGCTATTTTTCATTTCCGCTCTTGGCTCAAATTGAGATTGTCCTTCTGCATGTCGGTGAGAGTAATCGCCCTGCTACTGGTGACGAAGAAACCAGGAAATTTTCGAGAAACAAGTCCTACACTCATCTCCCCATTAAATTCAGGTTTTCAGACAGTCATCGCATTAGGTATAATTCTAAGACATAATTGGACTCTTCGTCACTGATCCTGCGTAACCTCCCGCTTCCCCATGAGAATAGCCTATGGCAATGCAAAATAACCCAGAGTCAAACACCCACGCAACCATGAATTCGGACAATCTCAACCACCCGAAAACTCCGTAATGAACACCGATTACCCCAAGAAACATGCAATTTAGTAATACTCAAGAAGAGTTCGATCATGAACTTCCACACAAAGGTGTAGGAGTGGACTTTAAGCCCGAGTGGTGAAGTCAGTCTCGAGACCAACAGCAGCGTCAATGGCGCTGGCCTTCTCACAGGTGCAAGAAGCTAAGGTCTTTGTTAGCTCGGGTTCCTCTCGAAACCACCAGACACTTTAAAACTTACTGGAAGACCTCTTGCCGCATGGGCAGGCGGATCCCGTCACCGGGTGGTTCTCAGTTGCCGAACGTTCACAGGTACATTCTCCGGCAGGACGGGCTCCTGGAGATGATGTTAGCGATTGGTCCGCAGAAGCACCAGGCTAACGCATATGTGTCTCAAGTCTGCGTAGACAGGGAGGAAGGAGGAAATGACTTACTGCAAGAGCATCGGGCGCCGCTCACGGTGTTCTCGGTGGAAGCCTTGTTGCAGGTGCAGTGGAGGGCGTTTTGCTTGCCGCAGGAGCACTTGGCCTGGGCAGCGCAAACACAGCTGCCATCACCAGAGGTCTTGCAGCAGGTGGAGGAAGGGTGGACCATTTTGACTGGTAATTGATTTGACTGGAGAAAAGTAAAGAGACGAAAGACCGTTTGTTGTAATATAGTAGTTCTTGATCGGTAGACCGAGGGAGCAAGGACTATATATGACGTAATCAAGGACGGAGCGGAGACTAGTTAAGTAGTAGTCTTCTTCAAAGTATCGATCTTTCTAAGGCTTCACGAAGAACGTTTTGTGATCAAAGAGAACGAAGAGTGTGTAATATAAAGAAGCGATTCAAGTGGATTCCCAAGGCAGCGATAGATATCCGAATAATGTATTCTGAAGAAGCAAAGACGATGGGGTTGTAGCAGGGATTTATACTTGCCGCAGTCGAGTTCTGCTGAGCGGCGGATCGGGCGCGATTAGCAATGTCCGCGCTCTCATTGGCCCGGACGGGGGCGATCGCGGACTGCTAACCATCTCAAAGCATCAGACATTGCCTTTCGCCCTCTTCTGATTCGACAATGCCTCCCAATATGGATCAATGCTCAGGCAAGACAGATCGCTTGCGTTGGTAATCCACGAGCGTGGACTGGTGGTGGCATGTTTGCTTACTGCCCAGTCCTTCTTCAATCTTGAGCGTTGTCATTGGTCGCCGCACAACTACTTTAGTATTACTTTAGTATGGTACAGAATGATGATATCACCCCATTGGCACAGCAACTCACTTTGTCCTGAATCATTTGTTCAGGTACCCTCCGCCCTAGTAGGCAATAAATCACCTAGCCGGTGGATGTTCCAAACTCCCATCGAGGGTCGATCCGGGAACAAGCACCGACTGTTGGATCGGCGCGGGAGCTACAGCATATCTCCCGAGCAGTCAAATGCCGTAGACTCTATGCGGCGCTTACTAAGACCTCAATGTAGGAAAAGGTCGAAAAGCATTAGCAGGGAAGACAGTCTTGGAGATTGCACCATTCGCCGGTCGTTGCCAGTAGCTTGTATAACCTTTAAAAATTATCAACTAGAATATAATGTCCATGTACAGGTGTAAACCGACGGCAGCCTCCTTGAAAACCCCCCCGCCAAAAATATAAACACAAGCTAGGTGGGGAGCAAGACCAGAGAAACAGAACCAGCAAAGGAATGCACGCAGCCCGCCTAGAAGAATACAAAAACAAGAGAAGATTGGAGAGAAAACAGGCTGAAATCAGACGCCATTAATGACCCGCCCAAGAAAAGCTAGCTGATTTTGAAAAATACATGCATTTTTCCGCCTCCGAGATAATATGGAATGCAAGTGCAGAGGAAGCGGCCGAGAAAGAAAAGTCGGAAAAATGGGAAGGAGGAAAGAGATTAGGAGATAATAGTCAGGCTCCTGTAATGGGTGCAAAGCCAGGAGCCATAAGGAATGTATGTAACCGCAGCCGATTAAATGAGGTTAGAGTTCCGTAAGAATTATGGGATGCACTGCGATTGTTGAAGAATAATATGGGGCTTCCATTTCCACAGAAACCCTGCATTATAGGTAGTTTGCGTATTCAAAGGTTTGGCCGCCAAACTTGGCCCTGGCTGGGTCGATCAGCTGTGGAGGATGGTTCATTCGGTCTTCGGCGGAGGTCGTAACGGCCCCCTGAGCGGTATCGGAAGGAAATGAGGCGGGAAGACTCATGCTGGAAGCATTGGCTTGCGAGTATGGCATCGCGTGGCTGATGCCGTATGAATGATGGTCGTATGAGTAGGACCGGTAGTCAGGCGCGTCTGAGACTGGCACGGATTGTAGGGCAGGCATCTGCCGTCCATGCTGTTGTAAATGAGAGTTTATTTCCATGCCACCATACCCCTTGGGAGCTGGCATGGCCAATGAAGAATGATAGTTAGGTATTTGCTGGTCTGATGCCGGGATATGTCAATTTACTGCTCATCATGGCTGTAGAGGGAAAAACATACTGTGACTGTCCACATTGTAGTGGATTGACTGATCGGGTGGACCCGTGGGTGATACGGAGCCCTCTAACGCCCGCTGGTGATCGTATCCAACGACCATGCCGTTAGCTGGCCGACCCAATGCGTAGTCTACCGGACGGCGACCATAGGCCATGCTGGGATGGCTCAATGGCTCCACTCCAGGCCTCGAAAAGCGCCCAGGAAAGTTGAGTCCGCTATTGAAGGAGGACTCAGAAAAGCTGCTCGATCTGGGAAATGGGAAAGCACTGCGATTATGTCTGTGGAGGTCTGACAGTGCAGGGCCTCCTCTCCCGGGCATGACTCCAGGTTGAGCATAACTTTCGAAATGCCTGTCTGCAGCCGCCGAGAAACCATTTGTTGTTGAAGCCGAGCTCAGAGGGGATATAACATAGTCATCATCATTTAGTCGGGGCAGGCCATCTGTGAGTAACATCTTGAAGGAGTTAGAAGCAGGATTACGTGCCAGAAGGGTTCGGGGAGACGCAACTGGTGCCTCTGCTGGTGTTTTATGGTCGAACGGAGTGCGTAGCACTTGAGTGGTATCGAAATCGTCGGGCAACGCTCGAGATTTCAGGATACGCTCTCGGTCGTTGCTTGTAAGCCGCTTGAGTTTGGCACGTCTGCCACATATGCGTTAGTGACCATGTACGAGTGGCTTCTGTAAATATGAGTTGTGGGTAATACCTATTCTGGAACCACACCTGGACTTGCCGTGGAGTCAAACCGGGGATCTCTTTCGACAGTCGCTCCCGATGGGCGGCATCGGGATGAGCCTGACGTGTGAATTCACTCATCAAAAATCGAGTTTGGTTGTGAGTGAGTCTACAAAGAATTGTTAGTTCAGTACATAGCCTCTGATGAGATCAACCATTTGCTTACCGAAAGCGCTTCATCTTTTTCTTTTCACTTTTCGAATCTGATGACTGCTTCTTGTCACCGCCTACTGACGACCCTGCCCCATCATCGGAGGAGAGCATGTCGGCGTCACCATCATCCTTCTCCTTTTCATGCTGTAATGCAGCTTCCCTGTCCTTCTGCTCCGGCGTCTTCTGGGTTGTGACTTGGGGACTGGCTGTCTTTTGGGGCCTTGGGAGCTGAAGTTCGTCGTGACCGTGCTTCTCCACCTTCACACGTGAAGCATCGCCCTCTGGCTCTGTGTGCCGATTCTCACGATTGTCGACGGAAGCAGGCCCTGTAGAACGCTGCTGTACCGGGCTCGATACATTCGACGGAGCCGCAGCTGTGAAGGCATTCTCAGCCTTGAGCACAAGTGGTTGCATACCGGTGGTAGACGGCTTTGTTGGCTCGCCCTCCTTTTCCCACGACCCGGGCAGCCTGGACGGCAGGGCCCTCGGTCTTGACGATGGCTGCTCACTGTTCCAGGAAGCTGTCGACCAATGATTCGTTATGGCGGGCAAATGGGAAGTCGAAGGTGGCGACAACGAGGACAACCAGACACACGGTCCGCTGATTGACATGATAGAAGTAGGTTCTACTATGCCCAAGAGTGTCACAACGGTGCAAGTTTAGTGCAGGTAGGTCCAAAAGGACAGAAAGATCCGGTGCACTGCTGTATAAATCTGACTATGGATGGAAGCTGCGACCAGGATCGCAGCCAAGGGAGAGTAGGGTGGGTCTGCACCAGCAGTCGGGGCGCTTGTTGAAGAAGCGCAGGATCTCCGAGCCGTGGACCGCGAGATAAAGACGGAGGGAGGCAGAGAATAAGAACCTGTTGGCGGTCCTCTGCAGAAACTTAGGGAGTACGGAGTAAGGAGACAGAGAACAGATGGACACAAGGCAGGGTTGGCTGTGCTGATAGTAGTGAGATTTGTGGACAAGCCGCAACAGATGAACCACGCTGCTCTCCTACTTTAGACTGTTCCCCTTGACTTGCCCCCGAAACGATAAAGGAGAATCTCGGCCACCGCTGGGACCAACGGCGAACGGCAAGAAATGAAGGTCGATCCCTTTGCTGGGGCCTAGGATACGGCCGGGGCGGGGGGTGGGAAACACTACCGGACGGTGGGTAGAAGGTTATAGAGCAGATTAACCCGTGCTTAGCCCAACCCGGAAACAAAAGCACGATCACGGTAGTGGAAATAACGCAGGGCGTTAGACAAACGAAAGGCCTTGGTCACGGCCAACCAGAGATCCACTTTCAAGTTGGCCACCAAAAGTAAACAGCACTACAACCACCGTCGTCGTCGTCGTCGTCGTCTTCGGGCTAAAGATGCAACACCAAGGGCACACGACGGAAGGTTCGTCGGTGGACGAGTGTCGGACCTCTGAGGAACGAATGGCCTTCAGTCCTGGATACAGGGAGTATTGGCCAACGATAGGCAGATGCTTGATGCTAACGCGGAGGAACAAACTCAAAAAAAGAGTGTGTGGGAGAATTGGGGAAATGAAAAATAAAATAAAAAAAAAAACAAAATAAAACGAATGGAGAGAAATAAGATAAAGGAACGAGCGTCAGAAAACAGGAAATTGGATTGAACGGGCCACAGCTTAGATGTTCGGTACTCGAAGATCTGGCACCATACTACAAGTGTCAACCCAACTTAATTCCCCAGAGGTAGGTAGGTGTACATCAGGCTGAGAGCCAAAAGAGAGAGTGAGAGTGAGAGAGAAAGAGAAGCAATGGAAATGATGGGAAAGAAAGGAACGGGGATCGGAGATGTTTCCAGGTTGGACCAGCTCCCAGTCCAATGCCCTAGTAGATCGCAGGACGACTAGTAGTGTACCCCTCTGGGCTAGACAGCAGAACCAGCAGTAGTAGGCCCGGATGTTGTCATCGGACGTACTGGCCAACGAAGGTGCCTATGATCACCACGCTTTTTTGAGGGCAGCAGGTAGTCCGCAGCTTGAACGTCACGGAGGGGGTGAGAAGACTATGAGTTGTGCCTTACTATTCGATAGGGGTTTGAACCACGGTTGCGCAGCCGCGTTTGATCTGATATGGAGGACAGACGGGAAGAGAAGCAAGAAAAAATGAGATAAAATGGGAGAATTAAAAAAATAGAAGAAAATAAAAATGAAAAATAAAAAATATATAGAAAAAAAATCAAAATCCAAAACAAAATAAAATAAATAAAATTAAGGTGGAAGACGGGAAGAGATCGAGGATGGCATGTGCAGTGGGTATCATGGATGGAAAGACAGCAACATCACGGTACATCATTAAAGTAAAAGTGGCGAACTGATAATCCACAAGAGGCCAAACCGACTCGGGCAAACCTGAATAACAGCCCTGTACCCGGTAATTCAGTGACTAGACAAGAGGGCCGCCAGCTCGTGATCGTTCATGAGCGAGGTGCTTCTTCAGTCCAGGTAACGGGTAAATTTCTCATGCATGGAGTGGACGAAACAACCATCGACCGTTTCCAGTAATCTCCATCCGGCATACTCTATTGCTCGTAAATTTTCCGACGTGGAACCGGCAACCCCGTCCGCGGTCCATTGCATCCCACCGTGCGGGTCAGTGGAAGTCTGGGACGCTGAGATTTCCCTAGCTCGAAACCCGCAAACCAGCGTGTGCTTGTCAGCCAACCGCGGCCTCTCATGGGGCAATACTGCATATTACAGAATACTAGACCCTGGTCGCCGGCCTGGAGCCTGTCCTGAGTCATCCGAGACAACCGTCCCTGCTACAGAAGCGGCGGCAGTAGGCACACCATGTGGGAGACTTAGTCTACCGACAGCACTAGTCGGGCGTTGGCTCCATTATCCGCCGGACACCGGTCATGGATCGAGGCAGACGGATTAGGTTCGGAGCCACTTAGCGAACTATCCGCCACCAGCCAGGGAAGACGTTCAGGTGATTTGTTGGAGATGCATGGGAGTCCGAGCTGACGGATGAGCCTTTGAGGAGCCAAGAAAGATAAACAGGGGTCAGGGATTTAAATTGAAAGGGGTGATGGGTTTGAACAACACAATTAAAGGTAATAAAGTCTAGGAACGACCCCCCTTCAACAGGGGCAAAGGACGAAGGACTGGCGCGAAGTGGCTATGGTGGAGGCCGGCAGCCATGGAATGATAGCAGCTTCTCACTTCTTGGGACCGATTTGCACCATCCTGGATAGCGTAGCTGTCACCCATCTTAGGTGCCGACATGGATCGGACAGAATGATGATTATAGTAGTAGTAATAGTGGCATGCCTGTACGGAGGAGTTGCTACTGAGGTCAGGAAGTGCATTTCCGTCGGTCCCACTGCGCCAAACGGACGGGCAGGACGGAGTACCGACGAAGTACAAAGATCGTGTATATGGTACGTGGAGTTGTCGAAAGAATGACTATCTTGGGTTGGCAGTCCAAGGACTGGCAAATGGGGCTGACCTGGTTCGACAACCTTTTTGACCCAAGGAAGCTTAGACAGGGGAGAGAGGGGGAAGGGGGGGGGTAAGGGGAGAGAGGTGTTGTTGGGTGGGTGAATGGATGGATGAAAAGGATAGGCAGGGTTTGCGGAGAAACCGATGAATGTTGTGTCCGAGAATTCGAACCTCTCGCGGCCGAAGCAGAAGCGGTACGGCGAATTGCAGTCGCGCCGTCGTGGTTAGCGCCAGTGGACTGGCTAGAAACTAGCGTGTCTGTTAGGATCCTGAGGAACGAGGCTGGAATGCACCGGAACGCCAGTCAGGGCCACCAGGCGGACCTTGCACCAGGCGAGCTGAACGGGCTTTGAACCGAGCGTGACGCTAAAAGCCTTGCAGTCAACGGTTGTCGACCGTGGCGGATTTCATGTGCCCTCTCCACCGGACAGAAGAAAAGAGGGGTGGGAATTATGGGAAAGAAACGGACGGATTGGAAGTGGAAAGCCCTCCTGCTCCACTTCAGACGCTTGTATGAAACAACTCGGGTGATATTCGGCAAGGAAAATAAAGAGAAAAGTTGAAGAGAGGAAGGTATAGAAAGTACTTACCCAATTGTGGCTTACTTTTAAAAACAGAAGGTAGTGACGCCGGGGGGGGCACAGAGTAGCATCTATACAGATGATCCGAGCGGGGGGTGGGCGATGGAAGACCAAAGGAAGATGGGAAGAGGAGGAGGAAGAGGAAGTCAGGTCAGTTTTTTGGGTGGAAAAAGCAAGTGGTGAACTTTCACAGGCTGGCTGGGCTGCAGGGTAGTGGAAGGAGAAGGAGCGATGGGTGGGGTCACGAGCGAATGAGACGGCAGAACAATGTGACCCGGGTACCTTGGTCTAACTGAAAGTAGATTGGTATAGATACTTAGTACTGGCTGTACTGGAGGTACCTGCTCTCCCAGTATTTACTACCAGAAAACACTAGAGTTACTGATAGGTGTTCAGTACCACAAGGTACCATACCATTTACTACTGCTACTATGTACTTACTTACCAATTGGCCTCGTTCCCAAGGAACCTACGATCTGCCACCTACGCAGCATAGTGAACCTTGTACCTATGGAAGGATAAGAGGGGATTCGAGTATTCGTAACTTTTTTGCCTAAACTGGTTTAGATAGCTATGACTATGTTTCTGTTTGATTCTGTGGGGAAAAGGGAAATTTGAAGAAATTGCAAAAGACAACAAATTAATCGGGATAGTTAATTAGATGGAGGACGACAGGAAGACGGGAACATATTGCACTGGATACTAACTAATATCCTGATCAGTTCCGGTAAAATTTCAGCAGTGATCCTTATCATGATGATGTCTGCCGCAGGTACGGAGGATACTCTCTTCCGATCAACTACACGGAATTACCCAAAAAGAAAAACAAATAAAATCCATCTAGCCAATAGGCTGCCCGATCGGAAGGGGATCAAAAGATTTGACGAAAGCGAATGAGGGGAAAAGAAAGAAGGAAAGAAAAGACAAAAAGGCACAACCGCAGGGACAGGGACAAGACGGCCATTGAACGATTCCGACAGGTGGAAATCCCCACTTGGGGTGGGTCGACGGGGTGCGCAACCAAGTCCGTCTTACTAGCCTTAACTGACTAAACCACTTCCTACAAAGTACTTACTAAAGAATAAGGATGGAGACATTCAGCAGGCTGTCTGCCTCCTTCATTGGCCCAAGGTAATTTCACCGATAATCAGACAATCAACAATGGATCGTTATTATCCAGATTGAAGGGTGACTGGTGGAATTCCAACTGGAGTTGTACTGACTTGCTTCATTTCATTTCATTTCCATTACCCTTCTGCAAGCGCCCTACTATCGGAGCCCTGCAGTGCCACCTGCCTCTAGTAGATAGGTGTTCACAAGATACTGAGTACTACTATCAAAACAAGCACAGCTTGGCGAACATTTCGTATTGCTACACTTCAAAGTGCGCTCCTGAATATACCAACTGCAGTGGATTGAATGGCTAGCTGCCGAATGAGCATCAAAATCTCCAGTGATCTGGAGTTTACTACTACGCGGCAGAGTAGTAGGAGTAGTTGTCTCGGCAGATTTCAGTGCGACATGATTGTTAGGTTATCCTGGTTTATGCCGATCAATGACGCGCATTCTATATGTGTTTGACTCGGTGGAGGGGATTTTATCCACAGTCCTGAGCAGACAGGTTCCTATCTGGGAGTACGGAGTACGCCGGAGTATTTGATACATCGACATCTGCAAGGCGTGCATGATGCATTCATGAATCAGAACCAGTGCTGACCTGGTCGCAATGATAGGTCAAAGCTGAGAGGATAACATTTGGTGTGGTAGCCAATTAGATGCTTGGGATGTTGAAAAAAACAAATTTGAAAGAGATATTCTTCTTAACATCAATCAATGTCCAAGAAATCCAATCTTTTGGGACCCAACGAGGCGGGGGCGAAAGGGAAATGAGCAGAAGCGAGCTAGGGAACGATAATAGGGCTGTATTGAAACCAGAAAACCAAAAGATTAGTGCGCCTGTCATGAGTAAGTACATACTATCTACGCACCACGTAGTACTACGTAGACATCTGGCAGCAAGTGTATCACGTCCTGCTTCGGTTCAAACGGGGACACGGCATAATGCGATGCCTCCTCCCCTGACTCTGGGAATACAGAACGACGGACTATGAACTGACGCAAGTGAAACTGAAAGACCCAGACAAATGAATAAGATCCCGCGCGACGATTGCCCGATGGATAAGTTTTTACGCCTGGATGGTAGGGTTTACTCCTGCTTTTCGTAGGCATCGACTAAAAAGCAGGCTGTGTGGAAAGAGTGCGTCGTCGTGTTTCAACCCCAACCTTAGATAGGAAAGACCGAGGTTTAGGGATCCAGAGTGTAATTTCTTCTTTCTCTCGGAGCTCGCTTGAGAGTTCGGCCGCAAGCCAAAGCATCATCAAATCTGGCTTGTTCATGACGATGATTCGGTCGGTTGGGTCTGCATCATGCATTGCTCCCTCTCCCGAAAAATTCGCTTTCTATCTCTAATTTCTCAGTCAACCCTGGCCCTTTTTTGTCTTACTGGCGTAACTGCAAAGGACCGATCTGCTGGACCCTCAGCTCCTGCTGGCTGGATAGTGGATCCCTCGCGCGTCTGCGATCTCGGGGGCCCTATTATTCACAGTAGGCATTCGAATGAGCATCTCGGGAAATACCTGGTGTGGATAATCCATGGCATGATCCTTCAGCTCAGCACGGGAGCCGCCACCCACGGCGGTAGCGAAAGGTTGAGACTGGAGGAGGGAAGAAGAGGGCCATCGTGGGCAGTGGATCGAAGCTCCAGAAGAGGATCCAGCTGAGCCCGTCTCTGAGCCATGAGCCTTTTCGCCCTTTTTTCGACGTGTAGCAAGTTGGCAACGGTGCGGGGAAAGAAGATCCCAAAGCAAATCGCGGCCGATCGAGCGAACCCGAGTGGATGCGAAGAGATTGGGGAGGACCAACTTTAATTTCTCTCTTAAGGCTTTTCAAGTCATAAGAAACGCCATCGCGGGCCCCTTCAATTTTACCTGGAGCACCGACAAGGCTTTTCCCGAAATCACGGGAGTTTAATAAACGATCATATTATTATTGCCATCGATCGTGAAGGATGGGCGCCAGATGGAACGGAAGGAGAGGATGAGCAGAATGCAGAATGATAACTAGACTAGTCTCCTCCTCTGGCTTGGGGCTAATGACCTTTCTAGGAACGGCGGTGGATAAGCGCCAATGCCTTCCATTACGCAAGCTCCGCGGGGGCGGCCGTCAACAAGTTTCGAATACCACGCACAAATTAAATTAACTTAAGACATTGTATCGGCTGGTGTGGATAGGAACGGCTGGCTGGGTTGGCTAGTTCACCATTCTCATCTTTCTCATGGTAGTCATTTTCTGAGGTCCCCAAAGTGCAAACAATGGCATTCACTAAACCACAATAATGATGATGGCAACAGTTCAAGAGTGAGCAGAAGACACAACCAACAATTACAATAATAAACAACAATCTCAAGGACCATTGCATGACTCGGGTCGCTACCGGGATCCATATCCTAGTCTAATCGAGCCAGGTTCCGGAAGCCATCCATACTTTTTCCATGGCTCCAGCGCATCTGGTCCGTGCGGGTCATCATCGGCTTTAACATGAAACATCGTTTACAACGGGATTCCATGGGTCCGTTCATGCTCCTTCCTTGGACATCTCACTGTCTTCGATGATTCCATCTGCCCAATTCCTCTCAAGCTCCTTTCCACCCCTGAACCATACACGTATTGGACTTGCAATCTAGTACGGAGATAAATGGTACTCATATTAATGAAGTCTTCATCCACACAAGGTCAGAAAAAGGGGGCTGAAAAGGGGGAGTATAGGAAAGTGAAAGTGAAAGCCGAAAGACACTGAACACTACGTACGATCGGTAACGATGTCATGGATATGAAATCATGACTCTCAGGGCCGTGATCCGGTCAGTATCGTCAATTGACGTCTATGCTTTAGCCATCATCGATCTGGCAGCCCTCACTCGGTAGAACCAGATCCTTGATCCCGGCAAGCCAAGCAGCGGTTATTTTGCTTTATCCGATCATCATCAGTCGGGGTCATCTACTAGTCACTACTCGGTAACTATCTACTGTGTCGGAGCTGCTGGGTTACTACGGTATTGCACCGGCCACCAGTACGCTATTTACCCAGTAGTTGCACATCGATCACGACCACTTCTCTACTAGTCTATACTACACTAGGCAATAAATTTACTTCGCCTGGCCTGTGGATGTCCCTGGGGGTCTGACTGAAAAAAAATGATCGGCCTCGCGATCCGTCCAGAAGGACCCTGACGACAAGTCATACATTTGGCCCTATCTCCCCCCCCGACTGGGCCTCCTCTAATTTAACGAATTGGAGCCAAATGGATAGGTCGTCTTGACACTTGATTGCATTATTGCTCTTTGAAACTTAAGGCAATATTCTAGATGCGCGCACTGGCCCCAGCCATGGCACTGCAATCTCGCATGACAGGTTTTTCTCCGGGAAAGCCCAACTCCATCCGCGAACCCACAGCGCTGTCAAGCCGTCGTGCGAGTGCCCTCCTCCTGTCTCGAACAACAGGACCGAGCTTGATGAGATTATGCAGGAACTCCCCAGTGCAATTAAAGTTGCTGATCAAGGAGGGTTTTGTCCCCTCATAGCTTAAAGCTTTGGATCACAATCGACTAAAGGGGTGCTTTCATTATTCAGTACGCTGACTATCCTGATCACCCGAAGACCACCCGATGTGGCCACTTGCAGTCGTGCACACAATTTTGCACACGCTCTTACTCGAAAACGTCAGAGGGATCCCCCAGTCGCGCCTGCGGTGGATGCCCGGTGACCTTCAATTTCCGGTGGACGACGCTATCATGCAGTCCACAGCTTCCCACCTCTTCTTTACCCCCTCCCCTTAATATCCTGGTCAGTTCTGTGCAACACTTCCACCCATCAACGTATCTAGAACACCCCTAAACTCTGAAGAATGCAAACAGCAAAGAGGGGGTTGAAGGGGGGCTATGCTGTGGCCCCGCATGCAGACACAGAAAGGAGGGGCAGGAAAAGACAGCAGAGACAAGAAAGGAAAAGTATGCGCGAAGGCCAACCATAGACGGATGCTATCCTCGTTGTCGCCACAGACTAGGAGGAATATCTCGAAAAAGGATAGGGTGAGAGTTGTGAGCGCTGCCTATGAGTGGCTGCTGATGGTCGCGACCAAGTAGGCCCTTGGTGTCCCCTAGTAGAATGACGAAGTCAAGACGGTTGCATGCCAGCCTCAGGACCAGGCGCCGCAGGAGGCCAATCAATCCGACCATCATCCCCGCCGTAATCTCCCAGTTAACTCCCTCGTGACTACCACCGCCTTCCTTCCATCCACCTGATCGCGCCGTTCATGGCCTCATACTTCTCTCAGACTGGCACTAGGCCAAAGCAATGCAAACGCACTGGCTAAACCTGCAGTGGCTCAGGCAGCCAAGGTGCCTGCAAGGCATCTCTTTTAGTGTTGTGATTCGGTTGCATATACCCAGGACTACCATGGATCACTAACTGCATTGGATCCAACGCAGGACCGTGTGTGACCGATCGTCAGAAAGCGTCAGCTAGAAGCCAATCATAATCATGTTCATTGCCCCGGTCACTGCCTTTCATAGAGCGCTAAGTGGCGTTATTCATATCGTTTGGTTGTTCTGGGGCAGCTGCTTCTACCGAATTAGCTGGAGTCTGTTCGGTGGCAATAGCGGAGTTTTCGTTTTCGGTGCTGGAAGCTCCAGGCTCCTGCCCATGCCCAGTGGACTCGCTTCCCGCTGGTGGCTTTTCTGAGGCTTGAGGTGTACCTTCTAGAGCCTGCGGTGTACCGTCTGACTGCTGGGGGGTTTCGAACAGAATCTTCAGGTTTTTGCCGTCCTCAATTTTCTCAAACTCAGCAAGTTTGCTTTTCGCGGACAGCCGTAGTATGCGCCAGGTTTTGCTCGATTTTGACCGCATGGCATATTCTCTATCCTCCTTCGTCTGTGCGGTGTCGATATCTAACTCGTCGTCCATGATTCCCATCATCAAGGAATCAGCAGCAGGGACGGAGAATCTTACGCTGCGTCAGCCCATAGCTAGCGGATAATTCTACGGTTCGGGGACACCTACCTTTCCGGATCCTTGAGTCTTTCCAGCCCTGCCAGCGATTCACCCTCGGAGAGAAACTTCAGATCAAGTGACCCCATAGGAGAGGTACGGAGGCGCTTGTTTGCATAGACCTTTGTGGCATGCTCACGAGCGCCTAGGTATTCCGATACAGAAACGGGCGGCCTCTCGATCAACGGACAACCTTCTGCTTTCCAGCGCACCCAGTTCTTGTCCCTTGAAAGAACGGTATCCACCATACGATAGTAGAATTTACCACCGATACCTTCCTGAAGATATTCCTCGATCGCCTTCCTCATCTTGACAGCCCATTTGGCCTGATATCGTTAGCAAGCATCCTCAAAAACGGAACATCACACAACAGAGCCTCACATCATCGTCATTCAACACAAAGCCGTAAAGGACAGACTTGTTGGTCAAATCAGCTAGCTTGGCTTTTGCCTTTGGCGTAAGAGAAAGCATGAAATCAAGAAGGATGAGAGCCTGGACAAGAACATGTCTCCTGAATGCCGTGTCATTGACCTGCGATAATGTATTAGTGGACGGTTCGAAAGACTTGAACTAACATTGCGTACCTCGAGGTCGAACAAGTCTCTGCTTGTCAAGTACTTAGGATTGAAGCTGCTCGCAATTTCCTGTCCATCGGTAGTCCGCTTCCGCTTGGTGGACTTTCGAATCTCCTCCGACATCTTGCTGTTGCTCGAGTTCTCGAGGTCTGTGTCCACATTCCTAAAAGCAGAGAGGGTCGCTTCCAGCCCGCTCTTGAATTTTGCAAAATGTTGAGGATCAAACGTCTTGGTCGGGGCAGAGAAGTAGGCCTGCAAGCCCCAGAAAATGGGATACAGATCATCAAGATCCACGCCTTTATCCTGAGATTCATCTTTACTGCTAGAAACAACCACCCGTGGGGTTTTGGGAGGTTCTTGCGCGGGTGTATGGGATTCGCTCGCAGATGTTGTTTGAGCTTCACTGTCCTCCTTCAGGCCTTCGGTCGTTGTTGGCGCCTCTGGTTCATCTGTCATCTCCACATCCGGATCGGCGACATCCTTTGCAGCGGCCTTGGTAAGTTCATCATAAGTAGTAACATTATCCGTATGGTATTCACCCCGAAGGTTGACAGCACTCTTATCACCGAGGGGGAAGCTTTGGAAGAGGAAGATGAAGACGCGCCCGCAGAAGACTGTATCTTCAGCCCGTGAAAGCCTGCGTAGTAGCTCGTTGCAGGAGCGTAGAATGATTAGACTCTTTTGCTTAAAGTGTTTCTGCGGCGATGTTAACAGATGCGACGCAAAAGACAATGGCTCAACCAGCGAACCTACCTTAGTATTCCGCTCTCTTCGTGATTCTAAATAATCAAACACCTTCCGACAGCCGTCAATGGTTTGGCTGTCAAGTAACTCCTCGATCAGCCAGAAGATGAGGCCGGGCTCACACTGCTCTGCGAAGATGTCAGGGCAATATCATAACCACAATTCCACCAGGAACTGACCATTATCCGAGAATATTGAGATTATATCGAGTAGGTTCCATATGCGGATAAACGAAGGGTCTTCGATCGAGGTAGAAGCCTGCGGGTCAATTCCTGATTAGCTATGCTCTTGCTTCCGCGACGTTGTTGTAGGAACCGGGGTTTGAGTGTTGGGAGGGGATATCATACAAGAAGACCGTAGAACTTCTCCCGGAATGCGATTTCTACAGCAGCAAATTGAGTCTGCTGGCTGAGACCTTCTGCCAACTGTTCGTCGTCACCATGGATGAGCCAGATTGAATCGCCCAGCTGCGATTCCG